AAAAAAAAGGAAACGATTATCTTGGAAGGACAGAAACTCACAGACATGGCATGTGTATTTAAAAAATAAATAAATAAATAAATAAATAAATAAAGGTACTTTAGATCAATGATTTTAAACAGGAAGCTGAAGTTAAAATCACGTCCAGCAGGACTTTCCCAGGCGTCCTCCGAGCGTTCCCCGGGAAAAAGGGGAAATATTTATTTTCACTATAATTCCATCTGTGAGTAACACACTGACTGAAAGTTTCACTGTTTTGTTTGGTTTCAAAACACTTTCTGCAATAAAACATCTCAAAGCTAAAATCTTATCAAATGGGGGCCGGGGTCTAATTTGTGTCAGTTTCCTTGATCTGAAGAAGTTTAAGAATGAAACCGGATCGATGAGGCCTCCGGACGTGACGGGCCCAGCCCAGTCTCCTAACCAGTGTGTTTGAAATAGCGTAGCCCGAGTAAATTACAAGGCAGGAGCTGCTTGCAGGGAGTCATTCTCTCCCTGCACAAGACAATTAAATCTGGAGAGGAGGGATACGACTGGGCCTGCGAGTGACTCGTCCTCATGTTTAACCAGCTGCACCGGACTGCACTTCCTGTTTATCCCCCACGGTGCTTTTAATTAACAAGCAAATAGGCCAGATGCTTGTCACGGGGGCATCTCGGTAGCTTCACAGCAGCTTTCCCCTCCGTCTAAACCAAAATATGCGCCGTCACTAAACAGCAAGTCAGGGTTCATTAACAGGAAGCATTCGCAGACTCTCAGAAAGCGCCCTGAATAAAACTACTAAACCGCGGAGGAATGGAAGCTTCTGTTAGAAAAACAATTAAGAAATGAGACATTAGGCACCTTACAAACAGCTGCCTGCAGGATGGCGTCGAACCCGCCCTCTGGTGCGTCCCGGTTGCGAGATACCATCTGCTTCTGCACCTCCTCGTTGAAGCGGTCCACTTTGTCCGTCAGCGAGAGGATGTGGCGGAAACCGAAGGTGGGGACGCAGTTGGGGAACAGTTTGTATCTGTGCAGGGCGACAGAGAGATCCAGGTATTTCCTCTGAAAGTCACATCAGGTCAATAACTAAAGCAGTCTGTATTTATTTAAGCCATGTTGAGGCTTTACTTTAAGGGGTCAATGATGTTTCAGTTCAGTTGGATAAAGGCTTAAAAAGTTAAATCAGATGTTCTTTAAGATCCAGCTGATTCACATGTTTCCTTCTGTTGCATGAACAGGGTGAGCAATGAGGGAAGGGAGAAGGGTTGTTCGGGGTCAAAACGCTGTCATCTGTTGGTTTAATATTTCCCCTGCCATGCTTGACTGTGTTTGACTGACACACACACACACACACACACACACACACACACACACAACCAAGGCCATAACCTAGATGTGAAGTGATGCGTGATGGCGGGCAGCGAGCTAGTGCGGTGCAGTCTCACCTCGGGGGCAAATATCGTGTGCCACAGCTTTTTTTTTTTTTTTTTTTACCCCTCTATCTGTTCTGTTTCCTTCTCAGTTTGTCCTCGTCAACAACAACCCGAGCAGCGTGACGAGGACAGGGGCCATTTTGAACAACTGCCTTCTTCACTCTGCTTTATCAAATATGAAATATCTCTCAGTCTTGCAGCTGAAGGACGTCTGACCCTACATGATTCATGAAGGTGGAAAAAAACAAGGTGTGTGGGTTTAGAGTGAATCATTACTTCAGGATTTCCCTTTTCATCTGCTGTGGCACATTCACGCCAAGTAAAGAACAGCTCTTCGCCTCAACATCACTCATGCTGCTTCTGTCTAATCCAAAAGCCATCAAACAATCCCAGTTTAAAGATGCGGTAAACCCTGTGTCCACTACCCACCCACTGCATGGATTCTCTTGATACTTGGGCGATGTGTAGGAGAAGGGGGATATGTTTTTGTCCACAAAGGTGCCGAAGCCCAGCCTGAAGTTGCTGGTGAGCTTTCCCATCTCCTGGGCCAACTTGGTGCCCAGGTTACGGATGGTGTCCAGGTCGTCTTTCATGGAAAGAGACAGGTCCATCAGGTAGTAGAGATCCACCGGGTAGTCCTCCACCTGCCGCACCTGCACTCCGAACCACGTCTGGTCTCCTGGATGGGGCAGGTGGAGAGAATCCGTTGGCTGGATGACTCATGAAAACATGCAGCTGAGGCTTTGTATTATTCATTAGAAAACCCTTTCTTTTGTTTTTAAACCTCTCTCAGGGTTGTGTAATATTTACCCGGCCGCAGGCTGAGGGAGATTTTCTGAGGCATAATCTGGACGGCATCGTACTGGCTCGCCCCGGACCCTTTAGAACTCAGGGGCATGTTCTGCAAGATCGCGATGGTGCTGGTCGGGTACTCGATGAACCGAACCTCGCAGCCCCTCCTCAGCAGGTTGTGACTGAAATCGCACCGTGACTTCAGAGTCCGCCCCCTCCCAAAATCCTGAAGGATGGATCAACCACGAACATTTTACTTTTCTAAACTGAGGAAACAAGATACAGTTGAACGTGCACTCACGCATCCTGAGAGTAACGCAGCAGGGAAACCATACCTCTTGTGCGCACCAGGCACAACTGGGGTGAATCAGGAGACATTCTTCACAGGACGTCGCGCTGCCACTCATGCACATGTTGAGACCTGAGGGAAGGTGGGGAAAAGATAATAGAGAGGCTGCAGCGCTGACACTGAAATTAAAAACTATCATCAATGTATTTAGGCAGCAGAAAAACACGCCTGTGCACATTAACGCAGCCTGAACCAATACTTTCTCTGAGAATATTATTATTTTAGTTCCTGTCGCCAGTGTGTGTGTGTGTGTGTGTGTGTGTGTGTGTGTGTGTGTGTGTGTGTGTGTGTGTGTGTGTGTGTCTCAGATTTGTGTCATTCAGCTCTATGGTAACGTTTAAAAGCTGTAGTTTGTGGTGTTGTATTGGGAGTGCATTGTACTGTAGGATGCTTCCAGTATTTCTACAACATATCGCGATATAAATGCAGCACAAAGAAACACAAACTGCAGCCAGAAAAACAAGAACATCACTGTGCAAACAACTACACATCACAAAGGAGGCATGCATGCGTTTTCCTGGTCAGTGTATGATGGGGACATTTTCAGAATCGTTGGCATTTGGTGACCGTCATGTAAATCTAATATTAAAGCCTGTGTGTGTGTGTGTGTGTGTGTGTATATTTAAAACACTGCCATTTCAATGCAAGACAAATATGTAGCATCAACATCTCCCCACTGCAACTGTCCTATAAACCTTCAGTAAACATAAACATTGGCTTCTCTCTCCTCCATGTGGCACCAGTTCAGTGATATCTGGTGTGTGTGTGTTTGTGTGTGTGTGTGTGTATACCCCAAACACTGGCTGACTGAGGGATGTTGCTGTTGCTGAAAAAGACAGGCTGATAAGAGAGAGAATTTATTGCAGAAGCAGACGAGCCAGCTTTGTCCTACCTCTGGCGGTGTGCGTTAATGTTTCCAGAAGCACGCAGCACAGAGCCGCTCGCCACATCCACGTCCCCGGGCTCCACATGGTGTCACTCAGCGTGCTCATCAACGCTCAGTGGAGAAAGACAAATTCCTATCTCTATTCGCAGCAGACACACAATTTATTTCTTTCCCATCAGACCTCTCATTTGGATTCAGTCCACAGTAAACACAGTAAAGTGTGTTTAGGTTTAGACCATCGCAGCTGCAGCGAAGCGCCTAGTCTCTGCTCATAATGACGGATCGGTGTGAAAAGAGGGAGTTTTCCATTGTTTTAAGTGTGTGCAGAAAGCGACCGCCCCACGCCACCGTCCTGTTGATCCGGTTCTTGCACTCCAGTCGTCCCGAGTCTTGTCTGTGTGGACACCTCTGCAGCCTTCCACGTCTCATACCGGACAGCGACTCCACAACTTCTCGGTCGGCTTCATGGCTTCACTTCGGTCGACAAATACGCGCAGAGGTCAAGCAGAAGCGCAAACGCAGCGCGTCAACAAAGAAAAAAAAGAAAAGATAAACACATATACACACACACACACACACACAACTCCAACAATGACTTTCTTTTCCAGAATTGAGTGTTGCTTTGCTCGGTTGTCCGGTTCGCGTCCCAGCTGCAATCCCCGCCCATTCCCAACCAGGGATTTACATTAACCCGTTCGTTGCTCTGTTGAGCCGTTGGCACCGTGCTGTGGTTGACGCCTGCAGTTGGTTCGGACACCTAGTGGTGGCTCCTGGGACTGTGGTGCAGGAGCCTCGCTGGTTGTCCCACTGGCTGCTGCCTGACGATCACAATCATCCATAAGCATGAAAAGGCGTCACAGAGGAAAGGTGATAAAATGCTCATCAATATTTTTTTTTTATTGAAACCAGATGTAAAATACAAATAAAGCTGCTGCATATACAAGTGTATGCAACCACAGAGCTACAATAAACTTCAATAACAATTACAAACAATGGATAATTATAACAAAACCTTTAGAACTACTCTTAAAAGGCCATTGTAACTTTTTAAAATGAGGTTAACTTAAATCTGATTGCTTTCAGATTAGCTGCTTCCCCCTCCCTTGGTATATGTGGCTTCTGAGGGGTTGTGATGCTGTTCTAACAAAACAAATCACTGGTATCCACCAACAACTCTCCAGTTCTGGGCCCTGCTTCCTCATAGCTGTGTGGCAGCCGGCGGCGAGGTCAGAAGCTCAGACGTCATCTCCCTGATGGTCCTGAGGGGCAGGCCGCTGAGGGCGCCCTGGTGCTTGGTCCTCAGCTCCATCAGGGCGTCCACGATCCTCTGCCTCCCGACGTCCGGGTGGAGCTGCGTCAGCTCCGCCATCAGGGTGTCGAAGCTGCCCATGGTGCCGTAGTGTTGGGGCACACAGGTTCCCTTAGCCGTGGGCGAGATGCTGACCACCTTCCTGTGCTTGAAGCTGGAGCCCAGAGACGGCAGAGACGCCAGCTAGAGAGAGAACAGAGGAAATGTTTTTACTGACAAAAGGATGAGCAGGAAACGAGTCGAATCCAAAGCTTAAAAAAACCACATACAGCTGTTCAGTTTCAGGATACACTATTAATTGATTATTAAAATAGTTGCTAATTAATTTTGCTGTCAGAGGCCCTGGGTACAACACACACACACACACACACACACACACACACACGGGTGTGACGGGTCCAAACGCAGAGTTAAACATGATGCAGCTGATGACGACATGTACAGTTTCAACAGGCCTAATCCAAGATGCCTGGATTTTTCCCAGCAGGCACCACTCTTCAATGTAACATCAAAGAGACGCTGGAGACAGACAATTTGGTTGGAAAATGAAAATCAGGTTGACGTAAAAAACCCAAGGTTGGTTAACTGACACGGTGACGTTAGGGCAGACATTGGGTTTTGATCTTTGTATGACAAGATGGCGCTGGCATGAGACGCTTGGAAGACGTAATTTCGTTACTTAACACAACCATCAGCTGTCGTCAGTGTTCAACATCCAGCTGACGTCGGGGGTTAGACGATGTCCTGACATTGAATGCACCATGCCTGCTGGGTTACTTCATCACTTCAGCAACACCCACTTTTCTGCTACATACTCTCACCTTCCTCCGGGTGCTGCTGAGGTCGGGCTTGGTCGGTTGTGGTTTGGTGGCGTCTTGTGAGGACTCGCTGACGGAGGCTGAAGCCTGGCTCCGACTCCCACCAGCAGCTCCGTCGATGTGCTCCACATGTAAAGTGTGGCCTTCCACGCTGAGGCCATTCAGCCCTCTCACTGCAGCCTCGGCAGATTGGGCGCCACTTACCATCACTATGGCGACTCTACAGAACGCAGCCAGCGAGACGGACAGTCATGTGAGTCGGTTTTGGAAGCAAATTGTTGTTGTTTTAATATAGTCAAAGCTGAAGAACACGTGTGACTGCTTCACACAAAACACATTAAACTAATACACAGTTTACAACTAGTAATGTCGTGAGGAATTTGTAGTGACAGTTATTCTCATGTCGCTCACCTCACACCGTTCTCTGGAACAGAGAAACGAACTTCAGAGGGACAGTATTTCTCAAACCACAGCATCACGTCACTCTGGCAGAGACAAAGTTTCAGTTAAAGCCTGTGCTGCCCCCTGCTGGCTACAATGGAATAATACAACACATTAAAGTTAAAAGAAAAAAAAAAGAGAAATATCTGAAGTGCTTCACTCGCATATCACAACAGTAGCAGCGTTCACTCTCATGTACTACTGTAAAGACTGAACTCACCTCCGTCACGTTACTGGGCAGGTTGGAAACACAGAGTGCTGAGCTCTTGGCCTCGTCGCTGGCAGATTCTGTGGTTACAACAAATTCAACCACTGAGGATCTGATCCAAAATTTATTCAAAGTCCTCGACCATTTACAGCTACAGCTACATTCACTGACCACCTACCATCGGTTCTATCACTTGTGACCACTGATGGGTCCTGTCCTGTCTCAGCAGCTACTGCAGGTCCTGCAGACTCAAAGTCTTCTTCCGCATCGTACCACGCCTCGCTCGTGTTGATCTCTTTGCATGCAGCACCTGTGCGCGCACAAAAAAAAAGGCAAATCTTTGATTTAATCTGTGTGATCCAAGTGATCATTTAAAAGCGAGAGAGAGACGCTTTTGCTTACTTGTCTGCTTCTCAGTCAGCTTGTGTTCTTCATGATTAGCATATCTAACCGGGGGGACAAGAGTGTTGGCTCTCCTTGCTCTGGTGGTGTCCCTCTTGACCTGTTTTTCCTGTTTCTGACTGTCCTGCAAAACAAATGAAAACTACACCTGTTCAAACTGACGAGGACTAAACACCAAATTGGGCCCAGGTGGCAGAAATGAAGCAACAACAAGCTGCTCAAAGATTTGTTCCTCTGTGAACGTACCTGGCAGCCACTGCTGCTCTGATCACTAGGACCTCCACTTTCCTCACCTGCTGGATTACACTCCTGTGGTTTCATGCAGCTCCTTAGGATCAGACAAGACAACGTTACAGTATCTACAAAGTCAAATGTCTCGTCTGCTAAACTGTTGAAACTGAATTATAGACACATGTATGTTTCTAACATACCAAGAAGGAAGATTTCCCACCACATCACCGATGATCTAAACAGGGACAACATCAGACATCTGTGGTTAAAATATATACGACACCAACAGTTTTAAGTGTTCTGACATCATGGGGTGAGTAGGCCGAGTCTTACCTGTGCAGGGATGTAACTTGTTCCTGCCGTTATCTTCTCAGAGTCGACGGTCAGAGGTTTAAGTTGCTCCAGAGGAACTCCTTCCAGGATCTTATCCCTCATCTGATTACAGTCAGATTCCAGTTTCTGCAGGACACTTAACACGTTTGCAGGAGGGTCCTTTGGCCTAAAGAGAAGGAGGAATAATAAAAGTTAAAACATGTGGAGCTAAACTGCTGGCTTCCTTTCTGCATTAGAAACATCTACCTAGATAATATATTACATTAGAGTTTGACAAGCATTAACTGTGGCAGTGAAAGAGCAACCTTGATCCTTTGAAGCAGAGGTTAACAACTGACCCATATTGATTTATATCTCCATGTGTTGCGGTGAGCTGGCCTCCCTCAGCAGAGGTATAATAGAGTCTCCAGCAGTGCTGTCTGCACATGCTGTACTGCAGGGCCAGGAGGCACAGCTCTGCTCGCTGAGCACGCTGGGTACAGTCACATTCCTTCACCAATTTACAACCCGAACTGGAAGAAATTACATAATGAAAGACATTAGTCCCAGAACAGCAGGAGACATATTCATGTTAACAGGTTTACAGTGTATCTGATACTTTACCCTTTCATTTTCTCTTTTTGCTCTCTGAGTTTTTCTTGAGTTTTCCTGATTTTGATAAATTCCTGAAAAAGGTTGAAAAGAGGCTGTTTAACATTTTTCTGGCGCTGCTATAAAGACGTGTGGGTGTTTGGTTTCAGCTGCCTCACCTCAGCCAGGTAGTCCAGATCTGCCATGTGGACTTCAGTGATGACATTCTTGTCAGCTGTTTCTGGATCCTCAGATTGGGTGAAAGTTGACGCACACGGTGTAAGCTCAGTGCCGACCATAATGTCACACGTGGGGACGCCGGGCATGGGGGAGGTGTACTTTTCTGAAGAGCTTATCTTCATGTGAGACTGAACTGACTTCACATCCTCCCTGGTGTCTGCCAGCGCTTCACTGTTAGTGCTGACTGAACCTTTCTGTCCTTCGCCGGCCAGACAGACAAGGATGCTCTTATCGTCCTCCATGATGCTATGGAAGTTGTCACTCTGATTGTCTAAGCTTAAACTGGCTTCATTATTGTCGACAGTGGACTCATTTCCACAGGCCATGTAATCCTGACACCCTTCTATTGTGCTGCTTTTCTCAACTGGGCCCAGAGGACAGTTCACCTGTTCCATGCTCCTGTTATTATCCTCTCCACCATTCCTTTCAGCGCTGTCAAAGCTGTAGTACTCGGGAGACTCGTATTCAATTGTTGACCTGTAACATGAAACAACATTGCCGATAAAAATATGTTTTCATATTATACAATGAGATGAAACAGACTGAAGTGAAAACTCATTCACAGACATGTAACAGCTGATATCCAAGTTCACTCACATTACAACCTTTATTACCTAAAAGCTACTTAACTACAAAAAGGAAACAACAGAACTATGGGATTAAGTTAAAACAAATAAAACATCTTTTGTAGTAGGATGTGATTTTCTATAGTTGATCTACACATTAGTTTTACACCAGTTTTCAAAGTGATGAATCACAATGACAATGTATAATTTCCACACCTAAAATGTAAATGAAAAATAGATGAGACAGATTAGACGGTGATGGAAGGGTTTACACTAAAATAAATGACGTATTGTGTGAGCTGTAGGAATCATCCTCACCGTGATGGACTGACTTCAGCATATGTGAAGTTTGCACTCTGGCCTTGTGTCATTGACTGTCTCCTGAGCTCAGTCTTCTCCCTCTGCCTGCATCGCTCCAGCTCCATGTCCAGAGAGAAGCTGGCCAGGGCTGCTGGATCCTGCACATCTGTACTGCTGATACTACTGGCCGTCTGCCATGATGGCCCCTCTTCGTTCAGCTGGGACAGTGGTGAACTCTTCAAAATAGAAATCATGTGTTATTCAGATTTTTTTGAAATTTTAGAAACAGTTTAACACACATACAGAGAACTGCATACCCTCTCTTTACGGGCCTTCTGATGGCTTGGTTCCTGTGTGATGGGGCTGTTGTAGGCTGTATGGAAACTGTCTTGCAGGTGAATCAGCTGGCAGACTTCCTCGTCTGGATGTTTTTGTGATCCGCCCCTGCTGCTGCTACAGCCAAGTAGGGTGAAGTTCTTCCTCACATTATTGTGAAGCATCTCCAGCTCCAGGTGTCTGTGGGGCATTTCTTGCAGGAGGCACAAACAAACAAAAATGTTATGCTGAAGCTTTTCTAGTATGAAAATTAGGTTTTAATGTAACAACAACTGTCTACTAAAAATCTTATCTCATTGGATTGGGGGGGAAGTTTCCCAGTCAAGGATTAAACCACGTTTTCCACTGATGTTTATTCACCCTCGTGGTGCAATGTCAAGACACAATGATTCAACCATGGGACTTAAGTTGTAGACTTGTGAGTCACAGATTTCTGTTGTAGTACAGTAGACGGCCCAGTCACAGAACTATTTGTGAAATGAAACTGTTGCATGTGACTCACTGGTAGTGAAACTGACGCTGGCTAAACTGAAAGGTGGTGGTCAGTGATTCAACAGGGAGCAATCAGCTTTCCTCATAAAGCTCCACTGTTTTATCCATTACCAGTGACAAACTTACAGAAAGTAATCAGAATAATGCATTTATAATCTCAGATGTTTCTTGCAATTAAATTTAAAAAAGTGTATCACTGTGCGTGTGTGAGATTTGCGTTTTTACCAAATTTGCACGTCTCTGCTCCTGGTGTTTTAGACCTGAGAACAAAACAGGGTTTCATCAATAAATCAAAGTAAAAATGAGGAATCCTTAACTCGCGTGATACACTGTGTTATCAATTCACTGCAATTATTGTGAAACATACTTATTGGATGTCATGGTTGGGTGGACAGGGCTGCTACTTCCAATGTCATCTGCATTTGTTATAAAAAGAAAAAAAGAAAGTAACAGTATAATATTAATGTGCACACAGCTATTAGAAGATTATAGCATCTGAATAGACTTACACTTCACATAAACATGATGCCTCGACAGCTCTAAGGCAGGATGTCTTTGCAGAAACTGGCGAAACCCTCCTTCATCTAGGAGAGAGAAAAACAATTACACTGAATTTGACAAACTAAAAATCACTTTTTATGCATCTTTTATCTCTCACATTCACATACACTAACACACATGGACTTGGTATTTATTAACTGGTACGTCTGCATTCAAACACACATTAGCATTTCTGTCTGTATAATAATCCATGATTATCTTGTCTCGATTTGTGACTGTTATTTTTGTCTTCTATTTTTATTATTTTGTAGCTGTAAAGTTGTAATCAGCCCTTCAAGTTGTCACAGTCCCAATAGGAATTGTCTGGTAAACACTATGTAATTTTTCTTTGCCGTGTATGTTTGCTGTTGTGTATAGCCATGAACAAACTCCTGTATGTAATTGTGTGTACACAGCACATTGGTCAGCTATTACAGAGCTGCTCAACAAAAAGACTAAAGAAATCCTTCATCCCCGGAACCATATGGCTCATCCTCTTCCTCCTAACAAAGGCAGAGGAGGATGAGCCTTGACCACCTGGTCTGAACCGTGCTGGGCTTCGCACCTTTCCTCTTATTTGCATGACCACCACTTGCACATTCATGTACAGTTACGATGGCTAGTGCATCATACTTTATTTAGTCTTTTGATCAATTTTAACAATTCATCATTGCTTTGTTATTATATAGTCTTTGCCTGCTTGTAATTAATTATTATTGCCTTTTTATTGCATTGGTTGTTCTTACTTCAGTTTGCATTTTCTGTGGTGAATATGCTACTAGATGCCTTAAGTATTTATCTATATATGTCTAATATGGCTTTTATTTTGTCATCACAAAATAAAAAGACAAACACAAATTAAACTGATGATTTCACTGCCAGCTATCCGACATCAAGCTGTGCCCTCTGAAACATACCTAGTATGATCTTTCTGTCCTCCGGAGACAAACAGAGGTACCAGCCCAGCAACTTTGGGTCAGTTAGCGCAAGGTAGGGATGAGCTTCTATCAAATCGAACACGGACCTGTAAGATGAGAGGAAACAACTGTTGGTCCACAAATCAATGTTAAGTCATATAGTACATATTTATCTGCAGTGATATAACATAAATCTACAGCAGCATACCTGTCCAGAAAGAACTTCCTGTTCTCTTCTGTTGATTGAGAAACCACAGTGAGATGAATGAATGTCAACAACAACCCTGGGGTTCAACATTTGTAAATGAGACCTTAGGAATCAAACATGTCATAACTGTGCAGACATGTACAGCCCAACCAGAAACAGCTTTATGCATTCACGCAGAGACCCCTGTCACCTTGTAGCTCGTCGTTGTATCTAACTAAAAAATAAACCTACGGTACCGTTGGAAATACTTTGCACAGACGTCTCGTTTTTGAAATGCGGTCTCTTCGGGGACTTACTTTGATTTTGCTTTTCGATCACCTTTTTGTAAAAATATGGTAGCGCCGGTGACGGCAACACCAAACCCGCACAGTCACTGGCCAAGTACGAAGGCCCAGGAAGGATCACTTCGTAGGGTAATGTTAGCGGGAAGGTCGGCCACACTGTCTGGAAAACATGTCAGAGGTTGAGTAGTCCTCCAAAGACATCACAATGAGCAGCAGTCACTGAAGTCTAAAGTGTTAGCAACACTCCATTACTACTACGAACGTTAGCTAACTTTAAGCTAACGTTAAGCTAGCTAACTGCTAGCTTAAGCAAATATCAATGACGACCACTTAAAAATTAATTTAAAAAACCAACCTAAAAATTAACCGTTTAACCTAAACGTTAAACGCTTGTTACCTGTTGTGTCGTCATTGTCACCGTCTTCACAAAAAAATAAAGAATATATTTATATATTTAAATCAAATGGCGGGCTTCCGTTGGTTTCAGTTACTCGTCTGGAGTTGGTAGCTAAGTGGACCTTCGTCTGCTAATTAAGCTAATTGGAAACTACTGTATCCGGCTGAGGTGTTTAACAGGTCAGTCCGCTCAAAAGAAAAAAAAAACACGTGCTCACCTCTGTCTGTATTTTTTTCCAGTCACGCAGGTACTTCCGGGTTAATTTGTTCAAATCTGAGGACTGTTGCCTCTGAGAGTGTAACTACAACCGACCATCTTTTGTAGAGCTCCAACAGTACACAATTAATATTAATAACTTTTTTTTAAAAATAATTAGAAACAAATCTTACAAGATTATTATTATTATTATTATTATTATTATTATTATTATTATTATTATTATTATTATTATTATTATTATTATTATTATTATATCGTAAATGATTCTAGGTTCAGGTTGATTTTGAAAGGGTTTTAATTGTGAAACTTGTGTTAGAATTCAATTTTCTATATTAAAAATGTTACATTTACTTTATTTGCGTAAATAAAAGTAGCATAAATAATTTTGATACCATAATATAAATGTTTCATTATATTTTAAACCAGCCTGTTCACAGTCCACTCAACTAAAAGTTATTTCCTGTTTTGTCACAGGCCCATTATCCACTAAACAGGGGAAACCCAAACTCTTCATAATATTGAATAGAAGTGGGTCAATAATAATGGTCTTGTTTTCAACAAGGACTTTATCCAGGCAGGGAATTTCCCATCTTAATCTGAATAATCTGCTCACATAAGACATTTTTATTTTAGTTAAACATCTTCCCCTCACTTCAGTATTATACATTTTATTCTTCTTCTTCTGTAGCATATCATGTGTGTTTTCTACATCATGAGGCACTGCTACATCTGCTTGTTTATTCACAAGGTTTTTCAACTGAAACTCACTCGATTTGGAACAAAACAATCCTTCCTCTTTAGCATGTGTAATATTTGTTTTTGCCATTTTTGCAATTTTCAACATGGTTCATATCCCCTTATCTGGAGTAGCTTCTTTTCCTACTTATTTATTTATTTATTTATTTATTAGTTCCTCAATCTCTTGTAAAGTACTTTGAATTGCATTTGCCTTTCATAAAAGGTGCTATATTAATAAAGTTTGATTAACTGATTAATACTGCAGTGTGTCTGTATAAAACCATTCGGTCAACAATATCCTGATTTACAAAATATTATTGATGTGACTCAATTGTCACAACAAAACTTCAACACAAAACTCTTACAGTAACACAAAATGTTATATCCCAAATGTTTCACTTAAAGTCTAAACAAGAGACCAGACACCAAACAAACTCAATGTTTTCATTCATTTTACAATAAGTTTAACAATTGAAAACACATTTAATGTATACTTTTAACACAACCTTTTTTTTACAGAATCTAGAATACAGCAAATTCATATTAGTTTGTTTTACAGTACGTAAGGTGGTGAAATGATCAGCAGTTATGACTCAGTGCCATTCTCCTTGACTGTGTTATTTAAGGACACATGTATATAAACATGAATAGAATGAACATTATATGCTGTAATTAATCATTGACGTCAATGCTAATGTGAGCTGGTATGTAGCATATTCAATGTAAGCACCCTCAAAAGGAAAGTCATACATTAGTAAGTTGGTTGTACAGTTTCAGTCTCCATACACTTATTGTTAGTGCTCGACGCACCACTCAAGGATCCTGCAGTCAGACTCTCTCCAAACAGCCACAGGGATAACAATTATGTAATTCTGACGTCAGCGTGTTTAAAAGCCAGAGAACTCAGTAAAGTGACAGTATGGTTGCGCCACCAGGACGTAGTCATGTCCCAAACCTGAGAAGTGCTGCATTATATTTTGTGCAGTTCAATTCAGCTCAGCAACCTTTATTGTTCTGTTGGGGGAAATTCAGTGTGCCGCTACGAGTGAAAAACACATATTACAAAAGCTTCAGTTCTCAGCTCCCACACTACACCCACCATTCACAGACAAAAAAAGAAAGACAGACAGAAAGAGAGCGAGAGAGAGCGAGAGAGAGAGAGAGAGAGAGAGAGAGAGAAAGCTGCAGCCTGTGAAGAATTCAGCTGCAGGAACAGTTTGTCCATCTATTGCAACGTGTCGTTTGCTGTTGTAAAACTCTAACACGGCTTTAATCATCAGCAGTTAGATGCTACAGTTCTGTTTGCCATTGTGTGAGAGCCATTAAACTGATTAAAAAGAAACATACAGTATATACCATATTATTTTATTATTTATCTTTTTCTAGTTTGTCATAT